GTTGAGTGATCTTAGTTACATACAGCTCATTCTCATCTATTCACGTGCCATGCAAAATGATCTGTGTATATATATATATACATAAAACAGCACACAAAGACATGTAATTGTTATACCATCGACGACCGATACAAACTCCCTCCTTATAGAAGAATTCTTCTCTCATGGCGGTCAAACTGATCCTCGTGTTACTCTCCCTGCTTCCTCACATCATCATCATCTTCTCGGCAACCGCCACGTCAGCAAAAGACTACGACACGAAGGCCTACGTGAACTCATGGTGCCGGACAACCTTATACCAGAACCTGTGTGTCCGGTCGCTGTCTCGCTACGTGCGTTCACGGGCGATACAAACCCCACGGGACCTAGCCCGATTCGCGCTCAAAGCGAGCCTATTCCGAGCCAAGTACACAAAGGCGTTCTTGTTGAAAGAGGTCAAGAACCTGGAGACGACACTGAGGCCCCAATACTACGCGCCGGTTCACGACTGCTTGACACAGATGAGAGACAGCGTGAACCAGCTGAGCCTGGCTATAGCGGAGTTGGATAGGGTGAACAGGAGAGGCGGGAAGAGCCAAGGGGATCTGGACTGGCACATAAACAACCTTCAGACGTGGACCAGCACTGCTCTCACAGACGCGGAGACTTGCGTGAGTCAGTTCTCGGGGCGTAGGATGAGCAAACTGAAGGCTACGATCAAAGGGAAGGTGAAGAATGTGGAGGAAACCACCAGCAACGCTCTCGCGTTCATCGAGCACTATGCTGCTGCTAGGTACAGAGCCAGACGCCCCTGAGCTTTTGCCTTCTACTCGGGTAGTCGTGTTTTGATCGTTGCCTACATGATTGTCTCTTAATTTCTTCTTGATTGTTAGTTACACGTACGTATGGATGGATGTTCTCTTTGATTACTAAAAAATTATACATTTGTGTAAGTGTTAAGCAATTATGTAAATCCAAAAGTTCATAAGCAATTATGTAAATCCAAAGTGAATAATTGAATACCACGGAAATTCCAAGGGTCGAGAAAGAAAACAGTTGGTTTTGTTTTAAAGCAAAAAGAACGACCAAAATGC